AGTCTTCTTCAAAATCAAATAATTGCTTAAGGTGAGTATTTTCTACAAATTTCTTTTAAAAGCTTTGGTTATTGATCTTGAAAGAACTGTATCTTATCCTTGAAAATTAGTTTTTGTGCTATTTGGGTTTTAAACTGGTTGAAGGGTGTCCGGGTTGTTTTCTAAACCGGTTGAAGGGTGACCGGATTACCTTAAACCGGACATAGTATTGTCTGGAATGTTTCTAAACCGGACACGTGTTGTCTGATTTAATTTTACATCGATCAAGGGTTGTCCGGATTTGATAAATCAGACAAATTTGTGTTCTCCGGATATGTACACCGGACAAAGGGCTAAGTGTTGTTCGGATTATTTATCCGGATAACTAATCCGGAAGATCTATATTTGATAATTTTCAAGTTTGAGCATTTTAGACATTTATAATTTAATAATGTCTATTAATGAGTTTAATTATGGATTTTTGGGAAACTGTTTCTACCAAGCGTGGTGACGTAAGTCTGTCTTGGTATGAAAGTATATTTCGGAAAACTTTCCTACCAATCGTGGTGACGTATGTCTGTGTTGGTATAAAATTGAATTTTGGAAACTGTTTCTAGGGTGACATATCAAGGAGATGTGTATTTGGAATAAGGGAGACATTGTCATATGTGGTTATTACTATAACTCTTATTATTATTACTAATTGGATTTAATAACTTCGAATCATCATTTCTTTGTGACCTGATGAATTAAAGATATTATTCATATTAGAAATAATAATTTAGATGTTATTGAGAAAGGAAAATGGTTTGTCATAAAGGGCAAGTATAGCCTTAAATCTTTAAATTAATATTTTCAAAGGAATAATTTGATGAATCAAAAGGACTATGGTCATCATAATTATTTCATTTTGGGAATATTGGATCTTTAAACAGATACATTTGTATCAAGAACTGAGGTTATTGAGTTTATCCTCTTACTTATATTATTGAGAACTGCATTATCTGATTGTATTACATATACTCCTGAGCAAAGATATTTTATTATATTTTGGTGTTTTATCACCTTCGATTTGCAAAGAAGAGATTTACTCACTAGACCTTACTGGTCTAACCCTCATTTTCTGTCTTAAATATATGTAATGCAAAAACTGAGGGGTCCAGGGATAGTAAGGGGAAAGGGAAAATGTGATTATTTTTCTTAACTTGATATCTGCTTTTGAAGATATGCATGAGAATACTTGTTTTGGAAGATACATGTTGTTATACATGTGATAGTACAGGATTTTATTTTGGAATTTTTCATATGTAAACTTTGTGCATATAAGAATTCTTGTACTAGTGGGACCATTGTGGTGTAAACTGTATTTCTATGCAATGAAATATGTGTTGTATGCAAATGTGGTATTTTGGGGTGTTACATTCTGATTGTTGTCAGTTTACAAAAAATAAAACTTGAGTAGCTACAACAATATTACCAAAACAAAATTAGGCGAAATAAAAAGACATACATAACATAAATAACTTCTGAAAAAAATGAAGGATGAAGAACCATAGTGAATAAAATACAATAATAGGAAAAAAAATGAAAAAAAAAACATTCATCAACATCATATGACCCGAACAAATCTTAAAATAAAATGTAATAGTTGTTAGCCTATAAAAGTTCATGGAAGAATGACATTTGACCATGTACAATAACAAAGTTTTGCAAAAAAAAAAAAAACAACATATAACGCACAGAAAAACAAATGTAACAATAATTAACAAAAATATATAACATGGAATAAGAAACATGCATCAACAAAATATAACACACACAAATCATAAAATGAAATGTAACGATTCTTACATAGATTTTATGGAGGAAAACAATATCAACAATAAAAAATTCTGCAAAAAAAACCAACACACATCAATAATAACAAACAACTCACAACAAAACATAAAATAAACCATAAAAAATGTAGCTTCCCTTCGATTAGACATTCGACTGTATAATATGCAATATGTAAAATAAAAGAAAAAAAACGTTAAATGAGATATAATATATAGATGGAATAGAAAATCGAAAAGTCTAAGAAATTTATGACTTAATGAAAGACAATCAATATAACCAACAAAAATATTTTAAAATTCTAAAGTTTTGAGAAAAATGAATTAAGAAATAACTCTTTCACAAGGTCGAAATATGAAAAGAATATAATAAATGTATCTAAGAGTTAGTAGATTAAAAGTTAAGATAATTAAAAGTCTTCTCATAATGAAATACATATTTTTCATTTAGGAGTATAATAGTCTTTAACTTATTTAATATTTTAAAAACTCAAAACGATGAGAAATTTCTTTTAGACAAATCTTACTCTAAGAATGTGTCACGTCATTCTTTGTGAGGGGCCGTTTACTAATTGTTTATCCGGGTAAGCGTTTAACAAGTCACTTTAGTTTAGCGGATGAATATATGATAAGGATCAAGAATCTTGCTCGTTAAGAGCAAGACAAGGATCAAGAGTCTTATCCAGTAAGTGAGAGCGACGACTCTTACCACGGTAAGCGCTTACCGGGTAAATTGTTCCATACAATGTCGTTTTGGTGGACTAAAATCTCACTTGGTAAGTAAATGATAGTGTTAAATTTTATCGGTAAACACTTACCGAGTAAGTGTTTGGTAAACAGCCTTTAAATATTATATAAAAAGTATATGAAAACTTTAATCAATTAATAAGATACATTGGTTTTCTAACAAATAAATGTATGAAAGAAAATGATAAACATGAAAGATGAACTTTTGATTTTGATAATATATTCATGATATATTGATGGTCATATTTTGATTTAAATTAGATTAGATAAATGATACAATTAATAGGATGAAATCATTTAAAAATACATAAAAATAGAGTCAATCACTCTACTTATCTTTTAAAATCTTAGTCTTCTCCAACTCTCATCTTCTCATCCCTTACCAAAGAATTTCTAAGATATCATTTTGTTTATTATTGAAACTTTGAAAATCAAATTTCATTAGGAAAGTAAATGGAAGAGCAAATCAAGAGTTGGAGGTTAAACTTGGATATACAAAATTACAAAAAAAAAAAAAAAAGGAAAGGGAGGGGGAGGGGGTTAATAATAAACTACACATGTTTCATACAAGGCGAAAAAGTATTAAACATATTCAACATTTAAAAAAATTAAGAAAAAGATGGGAAATATTCTAAGCATTAGGAGGGAGGTGTCACCTCATTTTTCGTGAGTTTTCCTTTAATTATCTCTTCTTTTACTGTAACTTTTTAAATAAAGATACTCACAAATTGATTAGAATTTTAAAAATTGATTGAATATTTTCTAAGGGAACAAATGATTATATAAATGGTAGAAAAAATGTTTTGACGATTACTTTTTATTTCCATAGCAAAAAGATGAGTAAATAAACGTCTCTTGAACATAGTCAAACTCTGTCTAACAAGAGTTTGAAAGCTATGAGCACAACATGTGACGTTTGAACTTCAAAACATCAGCTCTACTTACAGACCTTACTTTCAAGGGGATATACCGAGTTCGTTTTGTTTTGACCTGATTTCTATTTGATATATAAGGTTCATTGATCTGTTGTCATGCTTGAGTCGATGAATTCGGTTTTATATTTGGCCCTAATACGCCTTGGAACCCCCTATGAGCTCGGGTTTATATTTGGCCCTAATCGGCCTTGGGTTTTTTGCCTCGCCTCTTTTCGGGAAGATGCATTGAAATTTTTTGAGCTTGTTCAGTGTTTTTCACAAGTTGTAGGAACCACAATCTTAAAATTAGTTTCATATATGAATCAAATCGTGGTTTGAGTTGGCAACACTTGGTCTCTTAGGAAGTTGTGAAATGACCATTGTACCCTCACCATCAAACATTGACCACACATGTCAACTTGTGACCATAAAGTGCTTGCAAAATTGTTGTAGCATCATGTGGGTAGGAATCTTAAAACTAGGGCCTCGAGTTCACTTCCATGATTATTGTCCAACCCTTTCAGAGGATGACAAGAAAAAGAAACGTCACCATTTAAAGGTTCCTCTTTTGGTGTAATGTTTTCCCCATCAAATGAGACACAAGAATTAGCTATTTGGTGCACATCAAAATTACCAAAATACCCCAGATGAGTCCTTACCAAAACCATCATTTCTGCTGGGTGACAACTTTTGGAAAAATCAATAAAGTTGGGAGACATCATGAGTTCTATACAAACTAATTGTACAAGTTGGCTAACAATCTTAATCTCAAGGCCCCACATATTCAAAAGCCAACACCCAAAAATAATCAAAACAACAATGGCCAACACGGTGGTTCATCTTCAACACCATGCCCGCCACCATAATCAACAATTCCATTCTACTACATAACTTGTTTTTTCACAATAAAATCACAACAAAATCCCCGCCACCGACTGCCGCATTTTCTCATCTAAAATTGCAGCATCGAGGCCGTCCTCTTGCCAAATTATCCCACAAACACACCATTTGTCTTGGTGATTGATAGTGTGCCGTATAGTAGTTATCCATACACCCGTACTGACAGAACTTACCATGGTGGGAGTAGCGGACCGTGGTGGTGCTATTGAACTGTTCCACCCACATTCCCATGCTCACGTCTTCCATCTTGAATATCTGGCAAATGACAACAAGGAACGGTATTAGATTCATAAAGAAAACCAAACCAAAGAAACCCAGTATATCCCACTTGAAACCAAGGTCTGGGAGGGGTGGGATGCAACCAAACCAAAGAAACCTAGTATATCCTGCTCGAAAGCAGAATAGGGATTGGGGAAGGCAGGGTCCCGTCCGCCCGTGCAATTTGGGGGGGGGGGGGGTTAAGCAGTCTTGACCTCTACCCCAAAGGGTAAAGCAGCGATTTCCGTGAAGACCCCTGGCTTGTGCAAAAGTGTGTGTTAGGTTCTGAAAGAAATGAATTGGAATTTTGAGAAAGGGATGTGGAATGGACCCTGAGCTTTCTTTTGGCGCGTTGAGATACAACAAACTTCGCTATGTCACTGGATATTATGTATCCTGGTCCGTTTGCGTAAGGTGGATATACCGATTCTGGCCACTCCTGCAAAATTAACAAGTAAAAACCCACCTTCAGATTGTGCAAAACTGCAAATTTAAACCTTGATCTGTGTACCAATTCGCAATTCAAAACTTGATGTTTTTGCAAACAAACCATGAAGAAATGGAAAAGAAAAAACGCTGAATAAATTGTGAAAGTGTTGTAAAATTCTTGAAGAAATGGAGTTTGTTCACTGTTCTTGTTCTTTTATTTTTCTTCCTATGTGTCATGGGCTCTGCAGGCCCGGTCAAAAAAACAGTCTTCTTACCAAAAGGTGGAGGAGTGGAGGTATGGTTTGCATACATCTTACCCTCCACAGACTTTACTTCCAAGTAGGGCTTTCAAGATACACTTGGTTTAGTTTGCAGAATTAAAAAAGAAGGAAATTAAAAGAGCATTGCACTCAGCAATTTTGTCATGCATCGTCCTTTCTTGCATAATATGGTTTTCTGTTTTTTTCCATTTCCACAAGAGCAATAGGCTTGTTCGTAACAATTGTACAAAAATTTAGTCACTCTTACATAAATTACTCCTTCCGTTTCAAAGGTAAGTGCTTACTTTCCAATTCTACCCTTAACTAAAAGTGTAATAATTACACATTTGTAAAATTTATTTGTGGACATTTACTTTGGGATGGAGGGAATATGACCAAATGTTGTTATACCTCAAAACTGACTGCCCACTTTCCATGTCTGAGAGGCCTGTGGAAGAGATTGAGATTGCCCATGTAAAGGGACTGTTGATCGGGGACACCGTCAAGTTCCTTTAAGATGGTATCCACCCTTGTGAAAGTGTCATCATCACATTTCATCACGTATGACGCACTCACATTTTGAACCTGCATTGCAAGTGGTTGAACCATATATAAGATGATTGTAGTGCATCAACGGCCAATCCAAAAACTATAAACCAAACAAACCCAGTATATTCTACCCGAAGGTAAGGGTCTGGGTATAGATGTACGCAGACCTTCCGTCCATCTCAAGAGACAGATAGACTGTTTCCGATAAGACCCCAACTTGCGAAAAAGGTATATAAAACAAATAGAAAGAGCAGAATGGTAATCTAGAAAATATAAAAGGGTTCAATTGTAATGACCGCATATTCGCAGATTGCTATGGTTTTAAGCACCACAAGCTCGTAATGGTCCACAAATGTCAAGATAACAATATCTCCAAAGTAATCAGCCTCCTTTTTCAGAACTGCATTTTGCTCCCTCCTTGGACTCTGCATTTTGATATATCTTCTTTTATAAGAACCATAGAAAAATCACAAATAAGCCTAAAAACAAACTAAAAGAGATGATAGAAGTAATAAACAAATAAATTAGAAAACCATTTTCCCCTAAGGGGATTGAGTTCAGTGGTAGGAACCAACACCATATGGGGGAGATCGTTGTTATTGTGGGTTCAATTATGAAGGGAATACACAACCATGTTTACATTCCCTTGAAATAAATAAAAAAACCAATTATTTAATATGAATAGAAAAAAGAAGATAACAGATTCAAAATTATATGGTTTTAGACTATCATGTTTCAATAGTATCAGTGGTATAACAAGCACTCCATAAATCATCGCAAAGGATGTACCAGGGTACGGTACGTACTATGTAGTGCATTTCTAATTGAAATGGAACAGTAAATATTATATAGAAAACTGTTAAATAAGAAATGAACCTCTCTTGTTAGCTACGCACCCAAATAAGTAACTGTTTAAATTAAGGGGTAAAATTATTCCGGCAAGTCAATTTACAAATGTACATTCACTGTGAGAGAAGATGCATTCGCTGGCAACTGCTGAAAGTATACAAACAACCAGACTTGATTATAAAATGTAGCGGAAATATAAAATGAATGCAGGGAAAAAAAGTTAAAAGAAAGCAAAAAAGGTAACATCAATAATTGATTATATTAAGTTACTTCCATTATACAATTGCTGAAAGGACGGTTCAGAAAAATGACAAAGATTGGAGGATTGAAAATTTAATCTTACAAGAATATCTACAAGAGGATGTTATCATCTAATCAAACAAACAAAATGTTTTCTTTCTTTGTAGCAAGCCTACTCTTTCTAGCACAACTCGACAAACGACATTCAATATTCCTATCACATTGAAGATAATCTTGGGCAATTGTCATCTTATCGAAAGCCAAACACAGAGCTATGCACATGAAGGCATTTATATGAATTTGGTTCTGTGGGTAGCAGTTAGTTGTGAACTACATTACCATCTACGTCCCTTGTACTTAAAACTACATTACCATCTATGTCCCTTGTACATAAACTATATAACCAAACAAACCTAGTATGTCCCACCCAGAGGTGGTGTCTGGCGGGTAGGATGTACGTAGATCTCACCTCAACCCCAAAGAGTAGAGCAGCTGTTTGCAAAGTGTGTAAAAAGGATAAAACTTGCTCAGAAATTTTTGCTAAGGAACAAAATAAAAAAGGCAGTACTTTATCTAATAGACATGTATATCGGCTGGATATGTCGGGTTTTCCTTTTTTTCTATTTGGTTTACTTCTTGGCCCATGAACCCATGAGTACACATTATGTATTCAGGGTTTCTCCCAAGATTCTTAACTTTTTTACATAGTATCAGAGCCTGATAATCAAAACCCTAGCCTCTCTAAGTTTTCTGCCTCCGGAGTAGCCAACTACTAGTGTTTATTACTTAATCTGCAGTGATCTGTCTGTCCCCTCAGAATTCGCTAAAATATGTGAATACTGATTAAACCCAATATCACTTCATGATCCAAAGAAATACAAAGATACTAGTGAGAAATCTGACCTAGCTACTAATACACACCCAAATGTTCCCAATTCTGTATGCATGCCAGCCAGTTTATGTCACTGGTCATAGGAAGTCGTGATATTTTCAGATATCTTAAGCAAAGCCAATGGAGAGATATCTTACACGTGTAGTTCTCTTTTGTTTTGTTCCTGCTTCATATCCCCATGATGTATAGAGTTACATATACTAAGTTGATTGTTTATATGTCTGAATCACCTTCAACGATGTATCATTCCTCATTTACAGTCAAATGTGTGTTCTCTGGTGTATATAACTTTGAGAGAAACAAGTGGACAAAAAGAAGCAGAAAGAAAAAGAAATAAAGGTCTCGTCAAAAAGAGTCATCAATTAACAACTTGATAATAATATATTGTTGTTAACTTACTATTAACAGCATAAAGGATTGAAAATCAATTAACATCAACTTAAAGAATCATTCATAAATGTTAACAGCATATTAACCTTTGACATGCGATAAACTTGAGGCCCACAAACAGAACCATCAAGAATAGAAGAGATGAAAGGTAAAAAGATGAAGCATAGAGAGGTGAAAAGATGAAAAAGAGAGACACTTATGTGACTTGTTTGATATTTCCTGCGTAGAATATTGGTTGAAAAGATGCTTAATGTCCCAAGATTTCTATTATACTAAAAGGGTTATGAAAAAATATATTTCCACTCATTCAAACTGTTTGAGAAATCAAGATAAGTAACCACTCCCCTCAAAACACTAAACAGTATGCTTATTTTCTTTCTAAAATAAGCCCTAAAGGATCCATTTATATTGACTGACGAGCCTCATATAGAGAGACCCTTGGGGATATTTTAAAAATTCACAAAAGAAAAACCAACATAAGAGAAGCTTTTGAAGGCGATGTGATATTTCTCAAGCAACAAAACACTAGTGTTGGAAAAAATACATAACTTCTCAAGCAACTTTGTTCCAGAAGAATAACCAGCAAAATGATAGATATTATAAAGTTAACATATGACCACCTTTTCATCAGTAGTTGCAACTTTCAAATTCGAAATCATGCTAGTCATGCAGTAGTCAAATTTTGGACTCCTTTTTAAAAAATTAGAATTTGCATGGCTATACACAATAAATTTCAGTGGCTCAAGCGGAAGGAAGTGTAATGCAATATAAACATAAAATTAGTTTTGATGAGCTTGTAAATTTCTTACCAGTGCAACAAAAAAGCGAACTACTACATTTGAGGCCTTGATTGCTGAAGATTGCATCCATGTTTTCCTAATAGCCATACGCTCCGCAAAGTGATTGGTAGCAGATAGAATCCCAATAAAAACCAAAACAGGATGATGTGGCAACGGTTTAGATTTCCACTTCTCTGACATTTCTATTACCCTTTGCGGTGAGAAGCTTGGATGAGAGGTAGGGAGTGATGTAGCAAAAACCGAATGAACCTCTACATCCCCTTTAATCGATAACCCTGTTGCATCCTCAAGTGTAAACCCCTGTAGGAAAGATGACCCGCAGATTTATAAAACAATTAAAGGCTCCTAGCAGGCAAAGATATAGTGATGCCATGAAGACATCATTTCTTATTTGATCGGTTGACAAAAAATGCACAAAAAATTAACCCAAGCAAATCTACCGACTCCCTTGCCACTGAAAATTCATGAATTTCTTCCTGCTCATTCTAAAACCACATTTCTACGGGTATAACATGTTGAAGTTGATGGATGAAGCAGGACATACAAGAAAGTGAACTCAAAAAAAGTGAAAGCACCACTGGTTGCTTGTTTGTATTTAGAGGCTCTGCTATTTTGTACTAAATTTTAAGCCATTTGAAGTTTTCAAATACACAAACTCAGATATTCCTCCTTCAGATATATCTATCTATCTATCTATCTATCTATCTATCTATCTATCTATCTATCTATCTATCTATCTATCTATCTATCTATCTATATATATATATATATATATATATATATATATATATATATATATATATATAATGCATCAATTACCCAAAAGCAACATAAGACAACCACCCCTTTCATTCCAATCTAGTGGGCGTAGGCACCTACAAGCAAAATGCTACAATAATTAAAATGGCAACCTTTGAACTGTTCAGATTAATGCCACATCTCAAACATTCTGTGTATTTTCATAATTGGTATTCACTAGAACAACCCATAGTCATAGACGAGTATAATTTCTTAGAAAAACTTCATAAAAAGCAATACTATGAACTTAGAGTAACATACTGTACGATACGGGAACGAAGTCACATGCCGGCCTCCGACATTTATATGGTATCCATCAACTCCAGCACGTATGGTCAAGACAAACAATTTACCCTCCACAAAAGGAAATGGCCAAGTCACTTCTGGTTTCTGGGCACGTCCTACAAACCGCTTGAACCATGTTGTTGTTCGTGATTCTTTTGAATCAACAACATCATTACGCATCCATTTTTCACATCTTGGAAATCCATCAACTGCAAAAGATGGTACATTAATACCAAGGCAATGAATGAAGTGCAGTGCAGTGGCTGATAGACAAAAAACACTAGAACACGGCTAAACAATAAAATGTCAAGAAATAATACCAATGGATATAATATCAATGTAGCCAAGCAGCATCACTATCCCTCTAATATACAGCAAACACCATGAGAAATAAAAGGAACATCCCATTGATTAACAATAGTTAAGGATTTAAAAAGCTTCGCCAAACACTCTGGAAATGTAAGTGCTTGCCACATGTTCATCGACTTTTCAAGTGTGAACTCCAAGTTCAAAAACCTACTTCCATGATGAATTTAGTTGGGTTCTAGTTCACACTTCTTGTTTCTATGTTAAGGATCAAAAATTTGTGGTATATCACTCGTTCGTCTAGTAAAATAGTTTTATCAACTCATATTCCCCCCCCACCTTTCTATTTTTTTAGAAATTTGTTTCCATTTTTGGATAAAAGCATCTCCCTTTCATCAGGTGCTGAAAAATCACTCAGATGAAAGGCAGCACAGGTCCCTCCATAAATATTGCATAGTTAATCTTCTGTGGCAAAGGCCCCTACTCTTTTCCTGACCTGTCACACATGAAAGAGTTTGATTCTCACTGATTACTACTAATCTTTGTTCTGAAACTTGTGTAGATCACTTGCTGCTTTTTTTCATATTCTTTACTTTTGTTCTGGAATTGGCGTTGGATGGCATTGAGGTTCTGCTCTAGTTTCTTCTTGCAGCATAAGTATATACGGCGATAATCATTGGTGCAACTTATAAGTTTCAGGTTCTATCCTTTGAACTCCAAATCTGATCTGTTCATTTTTATCTTTCTAATGGCATCAAATCCCTTCTTCACCCTTCTAGTCCTCTCATTTTGCAACATGCTAACCTTCTCCATCAAGCCAATTTGTCTCTCCGCGCATGGCTACATCAACTACAAGCTTGCTCCAATTGCTCAATTTGATTTTTTTTTACCCTGCTAAACGTTGGTTACAGTCAGTGCCTTACTTTTATCCCCACCAAAAATCACCTTCACCACCACTATATTTGCACAAGCCCACAGATGAACACTGGATTGCTGTTAAATAGATACTAAACCTTATGCAGCATAGTAAGATTCATGGCATTTGATTCAAGATCCTAGTTTTTGCATCTTAATGAAGAGATTCTGGCAAACTCAATAAGTGGTTTTAAGCCTAACTACGATTAAAGGCTCTATGATTGAACTCTGAGGTTTGCTAAGAAATAGAGGTCCAACTACTTTCGTGAAGAGAAGAACATAAGCCAGGGGTCTTCACGGGAACATCTCCACTCCTTCGGGTGGAGGTAAGGTCTTGTACATTCTATACTCCCCAGACCCTACTTCATGAGGGATTTACTGGGTTCATTTGGTTTATTTTTGTTAGCTTTATGCATGACTTTGGGTATAACCCACGATAAACATGACAGGTCGTTCACTGTGAAGGAGCAACATCACTTGCTCAAGGAAGTTCTGGATACACTCAGTTGAAACCTCCAAAGAGAACATGTACATAAAGGGAAAGAACAACACAAACACACATTTGTCAACCAATCATCCAAAGATGAACACACATAGCCCCACCTCTTACCACGATGATGGTAGTGATGCAATCTCAACAGCAATGATCTTTAGCAATGCCAAACATTTTGCAATGGAAGTTTTTAAGTTATGAATAAAAAGAGATCTCATGTAAGTTGGCCTTAAACCAGAAAATAACTAACATGTAATATGAGCCAAATCTGAAATTTGATATCAATCTATACACTTCTGCAAGACGATTCTAATAACTCATAGATCCATTAAATTGAATGTCAATATATGAACTTCTGAAAGGCCAATCTAATGACTCATAGATCCATTAATTTGAATATCAAGATATAAACTTCTGAAAGGCCAATCTAATAACTCATTGATCAATTATATCTATAAAATTTGGATGATCAGCGGCATACTTGGCAAAATAGAGCCTTTAAATATGGTAGCTGTCATCAAAAGTTTTATCTTGGCACGCTGGCTCATTTTATGCACCGAATGTATTAAGAATTTCTATCCAATAAAGCAATTACTGTTTACCAACATTATCAAAAGCAATCTACTAAGCTTCTATTACTAATATCATGACTATATGCATAAGATTAACCTTACTCAAAAGGAAGCTCTTAGGATGCAACATTGTTCAAAATGGAAAGCTCGGAAACTTGTACAACGCAGAATTGCAGGATGCATCTCATCCAAGTTGCTCATTAAAGCATACAAAACATATAACTCAATTCCTAAAATCCTGTTTCTGGGAAACTCTCTCTTACACTTGTATCCTTACACCTCGGTCACATAAATCAGATAATTGCATGCATTGCCTCTTTCAATAAACCTATGAAGACTTCAAGAATTTTTAACTCAGAAGAATCAAATGTGTCTACTATTAACTTGGCTCAAGAATGCAAAGATAGGGGTGAAATGAAGGGCAGTGAACATGTCAATCAGCCTGATGCGTTATGACTTGGCAGCCATACAGTTATAACTTATAAGACCACAACAGTGGAGAAATGGCATATCAAAGGCAAATTCTTATTTAAAGAAAAGAAGACAGCATATCAGATATGCAGAAAAAGATGCTACCAAGTTTTATATTCTCTTCCCTTTTTCAGAGAAATGACAATTATAGTAATATGCTTACCAAGCATGTCATCATCCCCTTTTGATGGTAACCCATCACACCTCTGAGCTGCACCCCATTGCATCCTATAACATGTATTGTGTTCAATGACTGGTTGATGGCTCCAATCACCTCTCAATCGAGGATTTAGATGCAAAATTTTTGGTGGATCCTCCGCAACTACAGACTTTAGCCCCTGCAACTCAACCTTAAACTGGGAAACCAAAACCAAGGGATTACCCATTTTTAGTTTTGCAAGTTGGGGAACATACTCACTATGAGCATGATGAGGGGTTCCCACCACTGTAATAGATGATCCGGCAGCAAGACCACAGGGAAGGAACATGATTCTGTCCCCTTTAGTTAGTTCTGCACCAGTGACTGATACCCATGGTGGACACCGCTCTTGCTTCCCTTCAAGTATGGAAGCCAACTTGGCATCCTTCTCATGGTACTTAAGAACCTCTTCCCATGCCTTCCCACCTAAAGTCCAAGCTTCATCTGCCATTTTTTCCAATCCTGACATATCTCTGGTCCTATGCCTTTGCCTCAATATATTACCAGTTAATCTCCCATATCGACGATCAAGAGGAGGGAAACTAGCCTCTTTCTCTTGTTGACTCACTTTTTCCAATCTGTTACCATCCTCTAACGGACTTTCCCTAAGATTATCACCCGGTTTCTCTTCTAAATTTTTCTCTTGTTGGGGCACTCTTTCAAATCTGTTATCATTTTCTAATGCTTCACTAATTTCATCCTTATATGCGGATCTTAACGAAGGTTTACTCACTTCTAACTGATATCTCTTTACTGCTTCATTATCAGGAGTGCTGGATGTCTCAAAATACGCAGGGAACTTGAAGCAAACAACAATCAAATACAATGCAGCTATAAGAAACAAAATATGTGGCAGTCTTACCCTCCTCAAACCAAAAACTTCACTCCTTGACCTCTTCATTTTCATTTGTCAGATAACCAAATTGAACACATTGAGCCTTAATTTCTGCAAACTAAAGCAACCCCATCTCATAATTCCAGTTGACTTCCAAAGACAAGTTGAAATCAAAAACAAAAAGGCGCAAGAGAAACAGAATCCAGCGAACCCTAATTTGCCGAAGATGCAGTTTTGATCTTCACCCGTAGTCGGCTGATCGAACCCGCAATCGAATGCGAATTGGTAGGGCGAAGAACAAGAAGAAATGAAAATTTGGGAGGTATCGAAAGGATTTAAAGACCTAGGATTCGAGTAAACGTGACAGAAGGTCACGATGAATGTAATGAGTACACATAGCCATAATAATATAAGGCCTGGTGGATCAACCTTCTTTACCCAATAAAAATAGCTTCTTTTTATCCATCCTATCAAGATCTAAAACACAAAATGCATTAATTTTTAATTTTATGTAAAACCATTTTTCCATATAAAAAAAACAAGACCAAAAATAATTTCTTTATGTCTCCAACGCGCTTAAAAAAATGTAAGAGGTGAGATTTGAACAGGTTTCATAACACAAGCGCATTAGGTCGAAGGCGACTAAATCGGCATATAAACTTCTTAAAGTAGTATGCGGATTTATGGACATCAAGTTTGTAAAAAGAAACCAAAGGGCCTTTAACTTAGCGGTATGTGAGTCATTGGCCTTCTAGGAGGTCAAGGGTTTAAACCTCTTATCATTATATATATATCCATGATTAAAAAAAATGAAACTATAAAAAGCCTTTTGAAGAATGGTGTATATTTTGGTATTTTTTTTTTTTTTGTATATTTATGGGAGTTCAGATTAGCTTGCATGTATCTCTATTAATCTCATGTGGTCCTAAAGTTAACAGTTAGACAAATCTCTATGGTGACTTAGAAGGGATCGAACCTGTGATCATTGAAGTGCAAACATAGGTGTTACAAGTTATCATTCGTTGTTTTGTTTCCTTAAACAATAAAATCATAAAAATGTATGTTGGAAATCAACTAATTTTTGCATAAGTAGTAAGTAGGTCTCCCATCTATCCAAAAGAGGTTCTTCAACCTTGCAATTTATGTCATTTACTTTAAGATCGGTCAAAGTGGCTTAAAATTGCTAAAATATCACTTAATTTTTTTTTTGTTTGGTGGTCAAGGCATAAAACTAAAACTTCTAATAATAGAAAAATAGAGTAAGGGATAGAACCAATGGTCACTAGGGGAGGAGGGTGAAAGACAATGAACGGGTGACAAGAAACAGGGAATGGACAGGCATTAATATGTCGCATGGGAGAAGGAAGAATGCGAGTTTATGGCCCATTTGGAATACCTGAAGGCCTGCAAAGCCTTATGTTCATGTGGGAAAAAGTCAATCACGTTGATTTGGGTCTTTAGCCGAATTTCATTGTTTTGGGGGTCAAATCGACATTTTTCGATTTTTCAAGTAATCTTGTATTTTTTTTCTTAAAATTTTGGGCTTTTTTTTTCTTCTAATTATTGTTCCTTTAGTTTCTTAGCACTCCTAAGTTTAAAAATAGAATATAATGAATTGATTTAGGGTTTACTTTTAATAAAATTTTGAGTTTTCTCAATTTCTCTCAATTCATCATTCAATATTCAGTCGAATCAACAAACTGTGAATTGGGCGTGAGCCTCCCATCCATGTTGTATGTCACGCCCCGATTTTTTTCGTTTCATTCGAGTGTCATGACGTCATTCTTATAACTTATGCCATTAACAAAATACGAACTTAAAAATTCAAACATACATAATGTGTTCAATATAATTTGTTACATAATTGTGGAAGTGTAAATACTTTAACGTAATTAATGCTAATTAAAATATCTAATCAAACATGATCCAAAACATAGTTCCGTCTCTCTTCATTCAACTCGTCTACTGACAATTGACACCTGAGATATATAAATGTATAGTATAAGCTAAAATTTTACTGAATATAATATGGTTTTCATGATCACATGCACATACAAACGGTGTTTTAATGTATTTTAGTTATTATCTTGTAAGTGAGATTTCGGCTCATTACTTTTCTTTGCATATGTGGAGTATTCTATGGACGATGATTCCAAGACATCGGAATTGCAAGCCATCCTTTTATGTTCAACCCACCTCGTACGGTGAACGAATCTTGCCGAATCATAATAGTTGCATATCATTTATTTGCAATACTCACTCACTAATGCAAATCTMATCGTGACATGCAACATACATCTCATGCAAGTGACAACATAAATCACATATGCATCATCGTCATCTTTCACATTATACACGTACTTGAATATCATATTAATAATATCAAGTCATCATAATCTTTCTCATCAACATCATCTTTCATATCATGCATATACTTGAATATCATGTACACCAATACAATCAAGTTATCATCATATGCATATAAACACATCATGCAAATATCATGGATAAAATACTTTGTAATAATAATGTATATATCCCATAAAAATCGCATAATGTACTCACCTTGAATGATTAGCTTCGATAGGTTGTTTTTCTCTAAAACTGCAACCTACATGATAATTCATACTATTCATAAGCACCTTAGTTAATAGTAACTAATTTGTCATTTTTCTTCAACAATCTTAGTTTGACTAATCTTAACAATTTTTATTAATCAACCCCCGATACTATCATATCTCATGTTTCGCTCAAATATTTTCTTGAAATATTATTAATAATGTGACGTCGTTATAATATTAATTGTTGCTCGTACATTTTATATGCAATACACTTCACATTTTCTTGAACAATAAGTATTTTACCAAAAGAACTAAACTGAATAGTTTGCAACATAAATAATGTTTTATGGCCAAAACGTCTCTTTTAATATTTACAAGTGAATAACGGTGACAACATGTCACGCACATATAAATAACGACCATTACATAACTTAAAGCTCAACATAATTAATATTCGAAATAATGTTTAAATATCAATTTTCCAAGTCTAGGGGCATTTCGGTAATCTTAAAATAAGTCGAATATTAAAATTGTACTTAAAAGTCCAATCCCAAAGTATTGGGGCATTTTGGTAATTTTATTAAGCAATACTCGAAGTATTGTTAAAATCAGAATTTCCTAATTGTGAGGTCATTTTAGTAATTTCATAAGGATAATAATCAAAATAAAGCTTAGATACCAATTCCCAAGACATAAGTCATTTCGGTAGTTTATAAAGCAAATACGTAAGGTATCGTTAAAATACCGATTTCTAAATTATAGGGTCATTTTGGCAATTTCATACGGATTATATTCAAAATAACACTTAGATCCAATTCTCAAGACATTAGATCTGTCGGTAATTTTATAAAGCAAATACGTAATACCAATTTCTGAATTTATAGGGTCGTTTTGGTAATTTTATAAAAACAATAATATAAAAATGAAGTTTATAGACCAATCCCCAACACATAAGGTTATTTCGGTAAATTTTGGAAGCAAATACACGAAGTATTGCTAAAATATCGATTTTCTCATTTATAGGGTCATTTTAGTAACTAAACGAGATAAATAATAGAAATTGGGTCAAAGTTTGCATTTTACAAAATCCAAATAAATTTGATGAAAGTTTCATAAAATTATTATGAAGAAAATTATATTTCTGAAACTCCAGGAGTTAAATGCTAATTTCTGAAACTTAAATGTATAACACATTACAATAATATCGGTGCTATAGAAAATAACAAAACTCGTGCTTAGCCAATTGGTTAAGGCGTTTGAGCCTTTGCTTGAGGTCACGGGTTTAATTTTCATCCTTAGCGCCCTCATTCCATTTTTCTAATGGTTAAATGGATGCGGGTTAGATTCTTGACCCGCCCGACCCGATCCGAACCCGATTGCAACCCAAATAGGCAGCAACCATGGTTGCATGTTTTAGAGTTTCTCAAACTCGAAACCGGATCGTTTCTTAACGTTTTTTCTTCATTCTTTTTGCATCAAACATTTGGTAATATTTTTACCAACAATTTGACATAAAGTACAAAAAATTTCGTCAAGAAATAAGATCCAAAATTTGATTTAAAGTTTTGTTTTTAAAATTAAAACTCAACAACTTCAAAACATAAAAATTATACCATGTAAACACAAATTTGAGACATGAGGCTATTGAGGTTTGATAGAGTACTTAAAAACGAAGCTATAGACATAAAAATCAAGAGATTTGGTTAAGAATCTCGCCCAAAATTGATGAAAAACCGAGATTTTTTATTCTGAACTTCAAACTCAGATTTCTCTCTAAAAACTCAACGATTTTACTAGCTCTTTGAATGAAAACGATCCCAAGTCAGTACTCTACAAATTATATGCTAAGAGTTTTGGCTTATTAGTTGAAGAAATCGGCCAAATCGTGAGTTTTAGGCAGTGAGGTCGTTTTTTACAAACAGGCATGTCTTTTTGGTAAAATATGTCCCTCATCTTTAAAAAAAGATGACATTTTGACCCCTAAACTTTCTGACATTTACAACTGGATCCCTCCTGACATGAAATTTGCATTTTTGGTCCAATAAAATAAAAGATTAATTTTATTTTATTTTCTCTTTTGCCTTTCTTTTCATTAATTTTTTATTTAAGATTAATACAATTATCTCCTTCAATTAATCGCATAAATATTTTAACACTTCAAGTAAATTTAATAAAAAAAATTAAAGACTCGTGTAATATTATTTTTATATATTTAAAATTTTGGGTTTTACATTGTATAAAGGGTGCAACCTGAGGTGGGGGTAGTAGGTGTTGTCGATGTGGAGGGGGTGGCTTAGGGGATGTTCGGTTCGTTTTCTGTTAAGACCTGTATGGATATAGTTGTCTGTATTGATATAGTTATCTGTATATTAACAGATAAGTTGTTGTTCGGTTGTTGTGCTGAATAAACAGTCTGAATGTCAGAAATGACCATTTTACCCCAGTCTTTATTTTTATCTAAATAAAACAACAGTTCGATGAAAATGTGGATGGATACATGTATAACTATTCACAATAGATTTCCAAATGTTCTTTTCCTTTATGACCTCAATTATTCAAAATTGAAACTAAAGAGTCAAAAAAAATTATCTATTGCGTACAATCCCATTTACAATGAAGAATGGTCTTGTTGGGTTCAAGTTAGTGCTTTAATGTTGTATTCAATTTTTTCCTTAGTGTAATAGTTTTGTAATGGCTTAGTCTTTACAATTTCCTAGTATAAATAGTTTTT